CATACCTAATAAGAGACTTCTTGACGTATAGAAGTCGGAGGAAATTCGTTCTTCAATTTGGTGACATCAACCTCATAATTGCACGATGGACCAACAAGAATCATAATTAGCCTGCTCTAGGGAAAATTTCTACCAGGTGAACTTGTGATCCACGTACTCTTTGTACAGTTCTAAAATTTCAATGAGGTTTAATTAAATCTCTTTGCCATCAGGAAGGGTGAAATATAGGAATGAGTTCATACAAAATATACATTGGGTTTGGGATATTGATCCCCATCACTTGGTAATGCCTATTTGGAAGATTAGATAAACACTCTTTTTTCAGTCCCAAATTGTTGTTTTATTATTTTTAGTTTGTTTTAAATTAATTTTATTTTTTTATTTTTTAAGTAAATAACTATTTTTTTTCTTTATTTAACAATATTGTTATTTATTTATTTTAAATATGTACATTTTTTAAAACAGGATTACATATTGGGGGTTTTTGGGAAAGGAGAGGACTTAAATCCAAATCTAGTGAGAAATCTTACATGTGGAGCAACCACTTATTCTACCCATGACTTCTCTATTTGTTTTAAATAATTATCCTATAACAAAAATTGTCTTTATCTTTTAATTTTTTTTTTAAAGAATAGTCTAGATAAGTATATAAATTATTCTTGAGTCGTTAATTTAGGGGAAAAAATGTAAAAAAAGACTATATTTATTTGGGACAAAAGGTGTAGGAGAAAGAAGTTTTTTTTTTTTAATGAATAATAGAATTTTATTAATATATTAAAACTATAAAGGTTACGGAACTAATTTACATAAGTAATTCATTATAGGTATTATATTTATAAAATACATAAAAATATAAAATAAAAAAAATAATATTTACATGAATATCACAACTAAATCTAAGTATTACAGCCAAACCCTAACTTAAAATTTAGTAGTTATGCTGCATTCAGCATAATTCAATTAAACAAAAAATAAATTTATTAGTTAAAAAGATTTTGTTAAGACCCTATCCCTAACCATATTGTCAATAATCAAAACAGCCATAACATCTAATCTAGACCTATCTCAAAACAAGTTCAAAACCATTTGAGTAATGAAAATGAGGTTGAAGAATATGAATTAATAGAGAGAGTTATCAACAGAAAAATTAATTAAGAATAATAAATCTCGTATTTTTAAAAATAATAATAATAAATAAAATAAACGGATTGACCCTAACCTGATCCGTGACCCATATGAGTTGATATTACGGGTTATCTATGGGTTATGAGTTGTAATACGTAAACCTTAACTCATTTTTATGAGTTGGGTTAAGATCGGGTTGACGAATCGAGTAAATTTTTGCCACTTCTAATCTAATCTAAATTAAACTAATATTACATTCAATTTTTTTTTTAAATTACAATTTTTAAGAAATGGAGAAGAAAAATGAGATAAGAACCCTCAAACCTTAATCAAGTATATAGTAAATAATACCACTTTCACCTATCACATTGTAATACCCGGTATTTATTCTATTTTATTTTGTAACTTTTAAATGATTTTATTTAAGCCCTTATGGGATTTAAATGTAAGGAGATGGAACTAAGGGGTTTAACTATAAAGGAATCAAGAGTGGAAGGACTAACCAAAGAATTATAAACATTTTTACTAAAAC